CTGGGCAACATATACTCATACGGCAAAAAAGTATTAATCGGCAGCTGACTTCTGACTTTAAACTACTAAGACCCCACTGCATTTCATATTCAACCCCTTCAACAACACTCATCTTGCCTTTTTCTCTACCTTTGTGTCTGTCTGCCTCTTTTACATTGTGAATCGCTCTTCTGCTCCCCTTACTCGACTTTCTGCTACTTTGATGACTCTTCCCTCTGTGAAGCCCGAAGTCAACTAAAGGGCTAATGATAGCTATCAAAATGCATGCCATTTGAAATAAATAAATTATCAGACAATAACTTTTTAAAAAAAAATTCATGTGTACACTACGAATGGACGGTATAAAAGGAATTGACAGGCAGTCTCTATATTAGCCGCTTTTGCTATTAGCTTGTAAATTAATCAGTTAAACAGACATTCAGCATGTGCCTTTCCAGTGTGAGGGCTTTTTCCGACTGTCTAATCTATTTTACAAGCGCACATTTAAAGGAAGTTGATTTGAAATACTTCTATTAAACTTGGAATGGCATTTTGAATTAGTGCATCGTGAAATTCAATATCGAATCATAATGTTTTTTACGATAGACTGAGATACATTACCGATTGAATTAAAATAGCCATCGTCCACTTTTTCAAACTTAAGAAATTTGATGACGACAAAATTAATGTCAGTCCTTCAGAAGTAATTAGATTTCGATTTGAATAAATATTACCCACACCAAATCTGTGTTTTAAATTTGTGCGGTTAAGCACGAGTTAACGTTACACGATTTAACCTTAAGCATAGTTTTGGAGTTAGTCTTTCAAAATCTTCTGCATTCGTTGTCCACCTTACGTTTCTCAATATGTTTAGAATGCTCACCCACTAATTTCTAAGTGCTTTGTGAGCAATGGATCTCAATTTGTTCTTTTTGGTCCTTCTAAGAGATTTCTCACCCTATTTCAGTACTGATTGAATTTATTCAATTCCTCGGAGTTTAGTTAAAAATTATTATCTTGTTTCAATTTATCCACGGCATTATTAAACTATGCAATCGTAACATGCAGCACTCAAACCATAGCTTTAGGTTCTTTTTAATTTTCTTCAATTCTTAATCTGCTTTAACGGCAAAATTTTGAAGGCTCGCAAAAACAATAGACTGGTCTAATAGTCAACAAGATTTAAATTTCGATAACTATGGGCAAATATCTGCACCATCATTAGGAATAATTTATTTCGACTTCATTCACTTTCAGAAAAGGTTGAAATAATGCATCACACTCTTAATGAACTCATATTTGAAATGAATGGTTTTCGTTTTTTGACAGATAATATTTTATTATTTAAACGCAATCTTTGTTGCCAAATCAAATTAATTTTACAATTTCGAATAATGTTTGAAAATTAAAATGTGATGTGTCTAATTACTTGAAGCTCCAAACTGTTATTCCAAAAAGAACTAAAATAAGAGTTCATGTTAACAATGGAAACAAAGCACATAGATAAGCTAACGTGGATAAAAAATTGTTAACTTGCTTGGCAACGTGGACCCAATTGACCAACCTGTTTAGTGGAACCCGTATAGCAATAAATAATAGTGCGTATTTGAATGAACGGAACGAAATCGCAAACTAAATTGCGCCAGAGATAATTTAAATGTTACCAAAAAAATTAGTTCAATGAAGCAGAGAAGTATAAAAGTAATTGATTTGTAATGCATACTGAATACAAATTATAAGTTGTGATTGCGATTTCAAAAGACTAATGCTTCTAGCATAATTTTAGTTTATTTCTACATTCATTAAAAGAACATGAGAATACAATTGTGAGGACACATATGGTACAGACTTACTACTGCTTGTTGTTGTTAATAAGTTACCATTCTCTGAAGAAAGAACATAATATCAATACCAATACCGTCATTTTAAAAATGGTCTCTTAATTCTTCGTCACTAAGTATTTCGACAAAATAATAACTTCTAAATTCTCATTTCTCTCACTTGTTGATTTTACATTGCACATCATCAGTTATTCTATTTTGATTACTGCAATTTCTATGGTAAAATATTCCGAATTCGGTGAATTCAAAATCGTTTAAAACTTTGAAGTTTCTTTATTTAAACGATTAAAATATTACAGGAAAATAATTTTTTTAAACATGAAAATAATTTATTAGGGAAAAATTATGCTTTTAGTATTATTATTTCATTAAAACTCCAAGCAAATATACTTAGAATTTTAGGTATAAATAAAAATGTACTTCAATATACTAATTGAAACTTACTTCTACACTCGACTACATCAGGTGACTCGCCTACAGTAAAAAGGGATTTTAAGAATAAAAGTAAATCAATTAAATTTGAAATGCAAGTGCAAAAATACCTTCTTTCTCCCAATAAACACTTTTTCCTACACCTGAGTTTTGGTTTCCAAAAACAAAATGGCTTTTATTTTCCATGCCGTTTCGTTC